CCCCAAAACCCCAAAACCCCAAAACCCCACTTATAATTATTGTAAATATTGTAATGATATTAATTATAAAAAATAAAAAATGCAAGATTAATAATAGCTTGAAGAAATATAATAAGTAACGATTGATTTATTTGAAAAAATTGACAACGAACAATAATCATTTGAGATTGAGGCTAATAAAAAAGTAACAATTATTTCAATTGAGGAACTAGACCAAATAAAGCCATCTTTACAAGAAACTGATGAAAAGTTAGAAAATAGTGGAGATAATTAGATTTAGCCGCAATTTCAATAAATCAACTAGTTGCAAAAGTTGGTATAAATACCAGCAACTAACCTATTTGATAATATCCAAGAATTTGATAAAATCAAAACTAGCAGTAAAATATTATTTTAATATGCTTTTTAGGATATGTGATTGAGATGAATGAGGCACTAAATGGAGATGAAGGAGATGATGTACGCTAAATTGTATTGAACTACATTAAAATCCGCTAGTCTTGCTAGAATTTTAGAAGTGTTTATCGCATTCTTGGTAAGCAAGACCTGCTATCTGATAACACCAAGCTTTTGGATAACACTTAAATTCCTTAGATCGGTAAAGACCTTGAGGAGAGAAATAAGTTCTTGACTATTCAAAGTTTGAAAAAACAAGGAGATTAATATAAAAACTTTAACCAGGAGATTATCAGACTGTTAGACCCTAGAAATGCTGATGAAGCAGACCCTTCTGATAAGGAAGCCTCTCAATTCAAGAAGCTTAACAAAAAGATAGAGAGTCATCTTTACTTTGATTAGAAATACAATGTAGATTTCTAGATAAATCAGAGATTTGGCCAAATGGGAAATGAATTGATTAGAAAGGAATATTTAAGATTGAAGAATTAGACTATAAATAGGAAGAGAGACGAAAAGACTAAAGATAAGTAAAAGCTTAAGAAGCTATTCGTCAAATATATATGATAGTTGTGATTGAGTGAGTTGGATTATGTATTAAAATGCAAATTTATGAAAATTAATTTATCTAAAGATTGAAGTTAAACATTGATTTTGGGGTTTTGGGGTTTTGGGGTTTTGGGG